AGGAAAAAAGACTCATTATTTATTTTGCATTTCGGTGATCTAGAAAGCGAGAAAGAAATAAAAACATATTTTTCCACACAATTTTTTTACAGTTAAAATTGTTGAATATCTTCAGCATTTCTTCTTGGTAGAACCCTAATGCGAAACAAGCCCCATTTGTAACGTTATTTAATTATTTCTGACGTTAATACACGATTTGATGCCTGATACTCAGATTCTCAACCCTAAAATAGTGTGTTGTCAAAAATAATTAATAACATAACATAACTGAATCACCGAAATTCAAAAGTAAATAATGGGTCATATTCCTTTTTTTATGCCCATTCCAACGAACTATCACAATACATATCTACATTTGATAAAAAAAAAGTTGGGGATGGTTTCTACCCTTAAGAAAGGGGTACATTCCATGAAAAGGCCGAAAAAATGTGCCAAACTGAAAACAAAGGGACCCGCTTTTTTATTTTTCCAGAAAATAAACACTTTCTGATACTGAATTTATTCCATTTGAAAATTCCACCCTGTATAATATGATGTATTATGAAAATATAACAGTGCATATTTTTTTTTATCCTATTTTAATAAACTCTTCAAAATCAAAGCTTTATTTTATGTATTATTTATATCATCACAAGCTTGTCAGTATCCAACAAGAAATAATAAAATTAGAAAATAGAAATCAGCTGTTCTGAACACTGACAGCTCTGCGGATTTCAACCAATAAGAGCGAGTTATTTTCCTTTAGTGCCGTAGAGCTGTAAAGGATGTTAAAATGCATACGGAAAGTCGGCACCTCTGTAACTTGCGACCGCAGAGAATTGCGCAATTGTCGCTGTCAAACGCGAGTTTTCTATTCAAAAAAAGCAATTTGCGACTGGTTGCTGGTTGCTATGTAATTGCTGTTCGTAGAGGATAGGCCTGCGGAATTGCAGGTCCTGCATTCTGTCTTGCTGTTGCAGAGCTTCTGTAATGGGGACATTCACCATATTTGAATTTCATTGTTTTATTATTTTTAATCAGTTATATTAACCAAAATAAAAATACCCTTGCTTTCAGTTGGGTTTAAAATGTCCTAATTTTTTTAAAAATAATTTTCAAAAATGCTGTTTTCATCCCACATATTTAAACGTACTGGAATGGCGCCATTGTATGACGTATATAGACATTCCGACCAATAAGAATCGTTCACAATAGCTCTGGCGCATATCTTATATGCTTTCCTTGTCTAAGCTCTGAAGAGTGACAAGGATGAAACTCCTCATTCGTTATTTGCAACTTGTTCGTTTAACGCTGGTCAACATAACCTACTTGACGTTAAACAGTGCAACGTTGCCAAGCTGAATATCGTGATTCCTTAATACTAAAATGACATGGCATAAATCTTTTTTCAACACTAGAAAAACTGTTGTTCTACAACTAAACCAACTAACAATTAAAAAATTACATTAATTTTATAACTTTAGTCCACAATATACAACAAGAAACTATATAATGCAAGGATAACTCGAGGTTTCTAGAGGCAATCTTGGAAATAAACAATGACAACGACAATCTGACAACGTATGTATTTGCAGTATATTTTTGCTACAGTGACTCTATTACCTACAGTGGCGACAATTGCTGTCTTATTTTTGATTGGTTTTAAAATACCATATATTTATATTGAAAACGCCGCCATCTTGTTCCCACCTATTGCTTATTTCAAATATAAATATATGGGATTTAGGTGAACATCCATCATAAAACATGGAAAACAACGTATTTGATGGACCTAATAATAGTCATCAAATACGTCGATTTCAATTTTTTATGAAGAATGTCCATTTAAATTCTATAAATTCATATTTAAAAGTAACAAGAGGTTGGGAACAAAATGGCGGCGGGACCTCTATTGTCGCCACTGTATGTAAAGGTTTATTTAGCCACTGTAATTTTTGCTAGCTGTAGGGACTGACGTCATATTCGGCGGGTTTTCTGGGGCGTTTGAAATGCTGCTGAATTTATATTTTTTATTAAAAATTAACGGCAACTCAAATGTTCCCCAAAATAGTGTTATTAGACTAGACTTAGTTTGTGTTCTAGAATTAGAGAAAAAAATTTAAAAAAAACACTAAAATATCCCCATATTCGGGGCAAAGCCATCAAGTCCGAATAGGAAACGCAGTATTTGGGTACAGTCGAGAGTGAGAGAAACAGTCAGCAGTGCAAGAGAGAGAGATAGCGCGATTGGGATTCAATCGAGACTCCCCGTAAAATAAATTTCGGCGACGTTGCCAGATACAGAAGTGATTATTCAATAACAAAGAAGAAAGCAATGCAAGGGATCTGTAAAAATAAATCAATATGGCGGCAATGGTCAAGAATCTGTGATGATTGTTTATTTAACCTACGTTGTATTTGACTTTTTGAACTGAAGTGAAAACTTCTAGGCGTGCTTAGCACTTTTTTGTGGGTATGTATGAGAGTTTTTATAGGACTAGGATCAATGAGCAAAGTAAGAAGGTCGTTATTTTGTGATTGTCTAAAGGTTGCCCCACCAGGAATCATATAGGGTGTTTCACGAACATCAAAACAGAGGCGTTTTAGGGTATTTTAAGGTCGATTTAAAAAAAAAACGTCCGGGCACGCAAATTTTAATTTTTTCAGAAGCACACAAAAAATTAAAATTGACGTGTCCAAGAGGAAAGTGTAAATTTGAGCATAAGGGCCAGAAAATTGTTTCTTATTTAGCCCATGGCAACTTTGATTATTTTGAGAACTAATCATTCGATTTTCAAAAAAAAACGCACTTGTGACGTGAATCAAAATACCTTTAAAACACGGTACCACTCGACCCATCTTCCCTATTTAAAAAAGAGGAGTGAAAGTCACCCCACCCAGGAGGTGCGGTGCAACCGGTCTTGAAATACCCTAAAACGCCTGTGTTTCGATGTTCGTGAAAAACCCTCTGTATATGAAAAATTGATTTATACAGAAAATTTTCCAAAATTTGACAGTATACTAATGTCAATGGGGGCAACCCGGCTAGAATATTTTCAAGATTATGTCGATACCCTGTATTAATATTTTGACAAATATTTATACAGGGTATCGATAAAATTAAAAATAAAATTGAGAAAACTGCCGAAAATCAATTTTTTCAAATGGGAACCCCCGTATAATTTTATGTTGAGTTGTCTATTCCGAAAATGTTCAGTTTTCCTAATACATATTGCCAATTCAGTATTTTTTATGGCGATTTTGCTTCCGGTTTTAAATTTCAGTTGGCTATGAAGGCGTTGAAAAATAATCAAATGCCAAATACCTATAATATGAAGCTTTCATTTACATTTGGAAAATTATTATTAATCATGTCGTGACGTTTAAATTTCACAAACGAAGATTATTTTAACTTATATCAAAAACATGTAACACCTTTGTCATTAGATATCTGCAAAAACAGAAGCCACCAAAAGTTCTAATTTTTTGCATGACTATTGATCACCCATCATCACCCAATATATCATGGCTTATGTCAACCCACTAAAAAGTCAATTGTTGCAACTTAACCTGAAAAAGAAGGAAAAATCCATGAACTACTGGAATATTTTGAAAATTTTCAAGAATAAAATCATGCTAGGGCTAAAACGATTAAATTATACAAAGACTATTTGAACTTATTTAATATATTTATGGGGAAAGTGCCATTCAATATCCGCAAAAATAGGCCTAGGTATTTAACAGTTTTTTTTTAAAGTTTATTGAAGAGGTCGTAAAATTTTATGGTTCTCTGCCAAAAGGAAAAAAAAATAATTGCGACCTCTAAATCCCTTCGAAACTTCGCGAATTCGCATACTATACTCCTGGACAAAATTATCGCACCACTGCACATAAGCATCACCATAAGCAGTGGTGCGATAATTTTGTTCGGGAGTATAATTAATTATTAAAACTTGATAATAAGTACTAATATACATATATATCAACTACTACAGCATATTTTAATTTACTGCCAGTTAAATCTTCACGTTTGATTGAATTTAACCAGCGTTGTCTTCTAATTTTTGATAATTCGTTTTATTTAACTTTATCAGGATGTTTTCGATTCAGTTCCGATGGTATCTTATGAAATTTGACGTTGTCGTGTTCTCCCTTACTTCTTCATTTCACTGCACAACAAAATGCAGGCATATTTTTGCGCACTTCAACATTTGCCTCCCTGGCTAACTTTTGACAGCCGCCATTTTTGACTGGGTAAAAATATTGGAAGAACTTTACGCCAAAAATAAAATGATAAAACTTGCAAAAATAAGATTTTAGTAAAAATTATTAGATCTTCTTAGGTCGTTGGATTGTCCTATAAGAAAAGCGACCCATGAATAAGTGATGCTTCGATACCAAAAATGTCTGAAAGTTCAAGGACGCCAGTTTAAACTTGTAATGAAAAAATATAGGTAGGTAGGTATATATATTTTTTCAAATCTCTACCTTTAGTGTATTTTTCTCCTGAAATTAAACATACACTACGGGCCGGCTCATTCACCTTCTGATAAACTGTCAGGTATGCAATCTGACGGATAAAACCGCAATATGTAATCCCATTGGTCGGCCAGTTATCCGCTGACCAATAGAATTATAGAACGGTGAATTTATCTCGCAGATAGTTACCAGCAAGGTTATCTGAAGATGAATAAATCGAGCCTCAAGTATTATAAGACCTTTTCGTTTTATAAAATTTCATGACCAAGGTGTGGTGAACCAAAACGGAACCATTCGTATTCGATTTAAAAACTATAACTCATGACAGTTTTTGGTCCTGAAAATTTAGGACCAGCGGCGACCAGCTCGAGAGGCTGGTCCTGATTCCGGTCTTGATTTAAATAGTAAACAAAGAAACTTTGCCTTTCAGAATGTTTCCATAATATTGCGAACAGTATTTATCAAATTGAAAAATGTGTCTCGAGACATTCTAAACATTGTATACAGCTAAAGCGGTGCAAGGTTCCTAAAGTTGATAGGTGGCCTGGTAATGGGTAACTTGATGACGCATCTGGGTTGCCTTATTTGCATTATGTTGAGGCATACAGATGACGTCATAAAAGTTATCAGGCAAACTCCCTCTTTTAAACAACCTTGAAAGCGGTGACAGTTTTGATTTTTTTATGTGGCCACTGCTTGAATCATGAGAACCCTCTTTCAAAACGAATAAGAAAATATTGAATACTAATACTAATAATACTAATACAAAATTATAAACAAACCAAAGGTAAGGTTTTTTGGCATCCCTTTTATCAAGGCGACGTTCCGTAAGTAAAACAAGATTCTTGTTTTTTCCGGTTCCCGTTTCGCAACCCTACCACTCCTGAAATCTGGCTAGGTTATGAAACACGGTTCCTGAAAAATTCTGTCCCAACTGTTAACCAAATCTACCGATCAAAGAGCTTTGGTTGTTTCATTTGTTTCGGTTTGTTTTCAATTTCCGACATTTGTTTGTTAGGTTAGGTGATAATTTTTAAGTTTTTTTCAATTTTCTTCCCCTTTCGAGGTGTATTAGCGGTGAAAATGGAACAAGAGGTAAATATTACAAATATATTTTTAAGAGAATAATATTCTATCATCTTGCATCAAAGCCAAACCGAAGCGTTCCACACATAAGCCAATTTTTAGCGAATAACCAAACGAAATTGGTTTTTACCATTTTGGGATTGGTATTCACCACATAATTTGACTACCCCCACCATGCAATCACCAATAACCACATGCAAGAACCGCGGTAATTACTATTTTACTTTGGTGTGTCGTCACGTCATCAAACACCATTAAAATCGGGACCAGCTGGAAATGCTGTCAAAAAATCCGTCATTTTAATTTCAACTAAGACCGCGAACGCTTAAATCGAAAATGTCTATAGCCTTGGCGCATCCGAAGTTCTTGAAATTTGCTATAATTCAATTTGTTTAACAGCATATTGTGGTGATGAATGGTCTCTGTTTTTGCGGATATCGAATGGTAAACGTGTCACATGTTCTTGATATTAGCTTTGTTCCAACACAGCAGTAAACCGTACGATGTACCGTCACGATTCTGCGCAAAGCCAAAAATGTGTGCGTAGAACCCGAAATTCGTATAAAGAGTGGTTCCGAAACCGTTCATGGGATGGTTTTTGACGTGTTGGAACAAACCTATTACTTCATCACCTTCTCCATAAATAATAAATAAGTTTAAATAATCTTCGTTTGTATAATTTAAGCGTCCCTGCATGATTATTGATCATTGCCAATTAAACTTAAAATTGGTAGCAAAATCGCCACATAAAAATATTAAATTGGCAATATGTATTTTGAAAACTAAACATTTTCGGAATAGACAACTCCACATAAACTTACCTTTTTTTTTTAATGCTAAATAAGATGAAATTTGGGGGTTTCTATTTGAAAAAATTGATTCTCGGCAGTTTTCCCCATTTTATTTTTATTCTTATTCTTATTGAGCTCCCTCTAATAATATTATAGAAAACCTATTGAAGTAAGTCCTTGTCAACAAGGAATCCAACCCAAATCATATATGTAATAACATATTTCTTAAAGGAAAAATTCTAATTACCTATAGTGCCTGCAAACATAATTTTTGACATAAAAAATTAAATCTGTCAAAAATGCTTAGACTTAGGTATACGGATTCTCTCTACAATCTTGAGTAGAAACCAAAAATGAAATAATATATACGGTGTCCCCTTTAAAATAGGCAAGATGATGTTAACTTCCAGTATAACCAGAAGTACCACCATTTTGAAAATAATGAGCGTTCATTTAAGTTTGACCTCAAAGAAGGCTGTGAGAGTGAAAACTCTTACTTTCTCTCTTTACTCAATTTTTTCTTTATTGACATTAATTGTTAAAAGGCTAGATAGCAAATCATCTAAGGGCGGGTATTATAAAACTATTTCGACAGATAACTTAAAAGTTAACTTCTGGAATGACGTTGCTTCCCATAGTAATTCCAGAAGTTAACTTTTTGTTATCTGTCAGAATAGTTTTATAATTCCCGCCTTAAGTCATCTTAATTTCCAAGGCAAACGTGAGGTGAAATAATTTTAATGAACGCTCATTATTTTTTGATTGCCCCCATTGACATTAGGATACTGTCGAATTTTCAAAAATTTTCTGTATACAGTTTTTCACATACAGGGTCCCACATGAAAGTAACTACATGGGGATTTACCAAACGGTAAGAAATACAATTTTGGTTAAATGGGAAAAAAGTTGCATTATTTTAAGCCCAATCAGATGCATTGAAATTGAATATCGAACAAAAACTAAAAAATGTGTTTCTCGAATTTAAATATCGTCGCAAATTGTATCTCTTACCGTTTCCAAAATCCCCACGTAGATACTCTTATCTGGGACACCCTGTATAGACTGATTTAGATTCTAGTAGAACACAAAAAAAATAAAATCAGTAAAACATCAATTTAAAAACATAACAGTAGCAAACTTCTAATAATAATAATAACAATAATATATTACAAAAGTAAAAAAAAATTAGAGTTCAGCATTCACAGTGACACAACTGCATTCCATGTAAGGATTCCCAAGAAGTTCTTACTACATTCACGAACAGCTTGCTTGAGAAGCGAATGTTTAAAGCTGTTCCTATATCTACAATAACAATAACCAATCGAAGGAACATTTTCATGAAAAAAAAATCTAGTATCATGACTGTCATGCAAAAAGATGTAAATCCATATCACCTATATCAAGTAGGGCGTGGGACACAAAGGTGGGAAATAGTTTGTACTTGAGTTACAGCTATTTGCACTGCTATAACTTGGGGGATATTTAATCTAAGTGGAGCTTTGAATGTGAATCTTGTAGAAACAAAAGTCACATTCAGCGTTCCATTTAGATTAAATATCCCTTACGTTATAGCCTTGCAAATAACCCTTAGTATACCTAAATTTTGAAAGTAAAAATTCTTACCTCTACAGGCATTTTTCTTCTTGGTGGAGTAGGTAATGGTGAAGATTTTGGTGTGACAGCATTCATAGCTCTGTTAATTTCGTCATCTTGAAGGCTGTTCAAATTAAGAGGATCATTTATATTTCCTCCAAGTAAGAATTTAGTTGGCAATACTGGCTTGGGGTTGATTGGACCACAACCAGAGAAACTGAAAAAATAAACATATATCTTTACACCTGGGTATATACATAAATAGAATAAAATGGTGAATTTCTCTTATATACAATAATAGTTTATTATCTAGGAAGCACAACATCAAGACATTCAACAATTTGTTATAGGTTATAAAAAGTGCAATTTCTTATACTTACTTAAGTAAATAAAAATGATACTATGGGTAATAAAATAAAAAACGCTTTTTTGGTATCCTACCTTTTTGATCGCTTCCTAGCACTTCTATCATGTTTAAATCGTTTTCTGGTATTATTCGGTTGCTTACTTCCATTATTACGACTTATAATTTCAAAGTTTGAATCTACTTGGTCTAGTGTTATATCAATTTCAACATCAATATTTACTTCGTTTTTCCACATGGTAGGCCTACATGTAAATATAAAATTGAAACCGAGATTAAAAGAAATAAATATTTTAAGAAAACATAAGTTTCCACCAGTATGTATTAACCTTAACCATTCCAAGAAAAATGTTGCATATATTAAAAATAAACTCACTGATTTTAATGAATTAAATAATTAATTTAGGGAGTGGGCATGGACAATACAGGGTGCTAAAATGAAAAATTATTCTTTGTGTGAGGATATCAGGAACAATAAGCGATAACCTGGTTAAACTCGCAGAACGTTTTTAAAATTGATGCTCTAAAAAATTGTGCAATCTCATAATATGAAAATGAGGTGTATAACTTGTCAAACATACTTGGAGACGTGAAGAATGCGTTATTACTTGGTTTTCTATGCAGATGGTAAAATCGCCAAGCTTCTCAGTATACTTATTTGACAAGTTGTATATCACATCATGATTTGTCAGAGAGACCAGAAATTATTGACAAATGGAATAAAAAAGGCTTACCTACATTTGGGAGAGATGGTTGATGAGAGTCAAAAGAATGTGAAACCTATAATAGGATATAGTAAACATGTAGCTATGCCATTTTGTAGGTGGAAAAGAATTGACAATGCAGAATGCTTTGCTGTCACCAGCACAGACTTTGCAATTTTGAGACCAGATGCCAACTAGACAAATTCAGCATTTTACTTTATTTCAATTTCAATTCAAGTCAAAGGGCTCTTTCTGGAAATTAAAATTGATAAAATTAAATCTTGCCTAAAGAAAGTGCCAAAGTCATTTCAGTATCCAGCTTTTTCAAACATTTAAAAATAAGTTTCCTCTTTTTTGTTGTTTTCTTTGGAAAGATTAAGGTAAATTCGATGCCAAAATACCCACAACCATCAGGCATTCTCAGAAAAAAAATCAAGTATTTAGGTAAATATATAAAAGTGAGAAGTTGCATTGAATTGTTGATTGAATTAAATATGCTGAAAAATAACAGTACTGGTCAATGTTATAAGTTTTATATGGCATATTATTGTATGCAAATATCCTGGCAAATTTGTTCAATGACATAAGAGAGTCAAGGGTATACCCTATAATTTTTTGTTACCCTAAATTAGAGCAAATTTTTTTTCGGTAATTACCTATAGGTTGAATAATAATTTCATGAGTATAGTGACTGTCTTTACCTATTAAGAAGGTAGGTCTCTAAGGAGCTGACCTGAAAAAATAATGTATAAATTAAAGTTTAAAAATTTAGGAGTTGGTATATTTGCAATCAAATTTAAAATTCAACAATAATTATAATTACAAGTCAAGCCTAAAAAAATATTAATTTAAGCTTTGTTATCCGGATGAAAAATGTACCGAATACTTTAATAGTGTGAATGCTATACCTAGTTAGTTCATTATAATGCTTAGGTTTGCATTATTTGCACATTATGCCTATCTTATTTGGTATCTCTACTTATAAATTAATAATGATATTATAGAAAGAATATAAAATATATTTTTTAGATAACTTTTTGTTAAGAAAAATAGGTTGCAATGTATTTTCTATGTGGTTAAAAATGCAGTCTATTTTGTAACTTTTAGTGTTTTGTTTTTCTGTTCTCAACTTGTGGTTGTTAAGTATTAGGCTTTAAGCTAGAAATTTAGTATTTTTTGACCAACCCTCTTTTTTGAAACCATCACTGCCCTGTGTTTCTAAGAGAATCATTAAAATAAAATGTTCAAACAAAGATATGCTGTACTGCAAGATGGTCATTGTTCCTTATCATAAATTAAAATCTGTTTTTTTTTTTTCTAAATACAGGGCAAGAGATTGCCATACAGCATTGTAAAATGGTTAAGTGGATCGTCAGCTTATATGATTTTAACTAGAATGAATACTTATGCCTACTAACCTGAAGCAAAAATTTGTGAAAAAAAGAAAACTAGTATGAAAGTAACTCAGTGAAGTAAGGGGATGTGCGTATGAGCAGGGTTTTATAATATTGTAGAGAAATTGAGAGTACATATAAAAGTTTGCTCAGTTTTCGAATTAAAAGCATTTATTGTTACAACAATAATTATAGTCAATCAATTCTGTTTGCCCAGTTCTTCAATAGTAATTAATTTGCACATTATTAATCCTACTTCTATAGTTGCAGATTACTAGGTATTAGTAAGTAGTTATAATATACATAGCTAAGTTTCTCTGAACATCAAGGGTTAACTATTCTTGAAAAACACAGAAGGTCCATTAACTTTTGCCCTTAAATTCAAGTTAACCCTTGATTGAAGAAGTGTGGGTTTAAAACAAACAAATAAACATTTAACTTACCAATGGTAAGCTAATAGGTAGTAAATACCTGATCTATTCTCAATATTTTTCTTCACACACGCCTTTTTGGTAATTTCATTTTAACTGTTCACTATCACTTAAAAACTATATTGTTAAACGCAACGTTTAGGGAACGATATGCAGCTAGAGAGTGGAGACAGTAGAATTCTGACATTTATCTTTTTTCTCTACGAGGATGGAACATAAAAAAATTTGATACTGTTCCTTTCCCTAGTCAGGTATTTTTGGGTTATCGCTAGAACTAGTTCAGGAAATCGCAACTGGTCAGTGGTCGCTTTGCAGAGTGCTGCTAGCTAGCTAGATAGACATCAAGTGAGAGCCAGCATACAGGCTAGAGTAGCCAGTGTTGAATTACGGAAAAGCAAGTTTATTCTGAATATTGAGAACAAAATAAAAGTAGGTAGCATAGCGACGATTAACAGGCACGAATAACAGGACAGGAATCAGGATTGAACAAAAAATGGACAATATAAAAATAATGAGCACAGGCCACAGCTTTGTCCTTTGTCTCTGTCATTCCATTGCGAGCAATGCGGGCCATGTGGGCAAGTTATGAGAAATCTGGCTGGTGAAAAAAGGAAAACACGTTATACAATCAATGAGCTGGAAGAAGAAAGAATATTTTGTAAACACCACTTTCCTTTTTGTACCTATCTTTATCCTAAAGAAAACAAGTTCCTATTTTCTGTCCTTTTCTAAAAATGATAAATAATTCTATTTCATCATTTCTATATGTGGCAACGTGGCTTTAAGCTAGGTACAGACAACTCAACGAACATTCCATTTGAGGTTCGAATATTCGGAAATCGAAAAAGGCCATTCGCCGTTCTGTTTGCTGTTCAGTTCGTTGTTCGGTTTGTTGTTCGGCATAATGTTCCAAGCACAGCAATAGTCTGTACGAAGCTTTAGCTTTGTTCCAACCTAGCAGGGAACCGTACGTTAGGATTTCGCGCTAAAATGCGCACGAAGAATCAGAAAAATTTGTATAGTGGTTCCGAAACCATATTCTTGGGACCATTTTTTGGCGGGATGGAACATGGAACAGACCAATTACAATAACCTAATTGACTAATTGACATGTGTTTTGTTTACTGTTTAAACATCAACAGTGACCTGGTTATGAATATGAGGCCAGCCTACGCAACCAGGTTATCCAAATCTTAGCCAACGCTTTTTTGGCGCAGTGGTTATGGAAAACGCAGCATTTCTTAACCCGGTTAAGAAAATGTTAACCGCAAGCTGGCGCTAATGATCATTGTTGATCTGTCAAATGGTGTTGATATAAGCCGCTTTCCAGCTGACCATTTTGAGCACGCAATCGAGCTTTTCGCGCGCAAATGCTTCAAGCGCGTGTTCGTGTTCCAGCCGTACTGCGCTTCGAGAGCTGCTAACTTATGCGTTTAAAACACAGAACACTGTGCTGCACCGTGCCTGAAGCACACAGCTGGAAAGCGGCTTTTTTAAAAAAAATTGTCTGCAAAGAGGAAAAAAAACTTCACTTCAGAATTGGCTCAGATAAGTCAAATTTGACTCTTTGATCGATCATCTACCATCATCTAGGTACCAAATAAATATTGGCAATATTTTGGTTTTTCGATATTTTGCGTTTTTCTAAAAATGAAAAATATACATAGGTATTATGTATATATTATGGATATTATAATAATTATTATTATTTCTATTCTAAGAAATGAAGATATGACGCAGCAAAAAAATCGAAAAACTAAAGTATTTGGTATGGTAGATAACCAACTTTACCAGCCACTGTATCCAGATTAGTGCGAAAACTCGCCTATTAGCTCATACAAAAAAATGTCCTGATATAGGCATAGAAGATTGTGAAAAGCCAAGTTCCATCATTCAACAGATTATTGGATTCCACGTAGGTCTTGCAATGACGTATAGTAGTTACAGTTTGCTCAATTTTTGACCAATTATGTTTAGAAAGAAAAAAAACGAAAAAGTTTAGAATCGGCCCAAACTTTATGATGCAAAACAGTGGCACATTTTCGGCCTCAGTTGAAAATTCTTTATTTTTAGAGAAAACTGATTCAGTCTGTCAACACGGATTTTTCCTAATATGTTGAGCCCCTCCCAATTTTAAGTCCACTTTATTGATTGAACGCTATCTGTTGACGCGTGATTTTCAAAAGAATCCCATATCCCATGCATAGTCCTGTAAAAAGAACCCTGGTTGGTGTGTGTCCAAATAGATGGCGACACGTAGGCCATATTTTATTTTTCTCACCCTCAAAATTTTCCCGCCAAACTTATTCATGGTTCGTTTTTTTCTTGCTGAAATTAATTTAAGTTAATATAGCTATTTTGCAATGAAAACAAATTAATTTGCCTCTATTGGAAAAACATTCATCTTAGAATATAATGTAGTTTTCAAAATTCTTTGGTTAGATTTTACTGGTTGGTCTTGAAAGCTGATAAGCGACAAATTAAAATAATACATCATCAGATCTCCACCAGTCAGTACTACTTTGTACTAATGTATTGTCTTTGTTTGCGTGGTTAAGTAGGTATGTTTTTGTGTGCATATTTTGTTGGAGTTAATAATTAACGTTTTAATATTATAGAAATGTTCAGTGGCAAAAAAAAAGAGAAAAAGGAGATCAGTACCACTAAGTGAGTCATACTTTATACATTATAATTTGGAATTATTTTATGAATTACATTAATTTGCGTTATTTAATTAACAGGGGTACATCAAGCTTTCATCAAACAACAACTGTAAAAAAATCAGATCATGGAACCACAGTAACTAAAACTACACAAATCACTTCTTTATCAGCTTGCACCCAAAGTTCCACAAGAGAGGAGAGAAGTCATTCTTTTAGTACTACTGGGTCATTTGGTAATATTCAAAGTTTCATCTACCTACTATTCCTACTTCCACATTACCTCTATTATTCTATGATAAAAATCTTTGAAGTTTAATAGGCCAGCATAGGAAGGCCTAACTTTTTTCAACAAAATTTCTTTCTGGAACATCCCCTTCCATCCCCAAAGGTCCTTTTTTTGGTTTTTCCGAAACGTAGTGCTTGCGCTACATTCTAGAAAAAAATACCTTAATCATAAATTAAAGATTACTACATTCTCTACAGCGATAGCATATGTCTATCACCTACCCTTTAGCCGGGGTGGCGCTCCAAAATCGAACGCCCTTGAGGATAGATGAACCACAAACTATGCAGCGAGTACTCATAAATGGTTGGCCTATTTTTGGTACATGTTTTATTGAGAAACTGTTAATAGCCCTTTCATATCATCTAAAGGGCTAATGCTAGGCTGTTCAAATTTTCAGGGTTTATTGATTTTGGAATGATGTTTTAAAATTTACCCACCGCCATTTTCTACTTGGAATCACCAAAAAAAAAAAAAATTAAAAATGCTTTTTTTTTTCATTTTCTCGCACACATATAGGTATATATTTTTTTTTTCATTTCAATGTCAGACTCTGTACATTCCTTATAATTAGTGTGGCTTCTACAGCTTAAACAAAAAATAATTTTTATTATCTTTTGCAAATGTCAAAATGGGCAAATGACAGGTGCCAACTGTCGTAAAGACTAACACTTGCATTTTTTTTAAAATGGAACACCCTGTTTATTTTTGGCTGGAATGATAGATTTTTTTTCTTCTGACTCCAAATATATCATATCGTTGATATTTGGTTCAGTTGTTTTTACGCTAAGTTTAAAAATGCATTTACAGTAGGTACCTACCCTAATTTAGGTCTGTCCCGGTTTCTTATATCATTGTATCTTATATCAATGATGAGGCTTGCTCAATGATATTTTGAAATTAAATAGCACAAAAACTTCTGAACCAAATATCTACGTATATATGGTATATTTGGAATCAGAAGAAAAAAATCTATGATTCTGGTCAAAAATATACAGGGTATTCCATTCAAAAAATGCAAGTGTTTGGCATGACAGTTGGTACCTGTCATTCGCCCGTTTTGACATTTGCAAAAGATAATTGAGATAAAACTCTACAACTTTTGTGTTAAACTTCTTTTAAATTTTTTTTTTGGTTTAAGCTGTAGAAGTCGCACTAATTATAAGGAACAGACCTTTCCACAATGAAAATGGTTCACATATTATTTTGTGTAGGCCTCTGACATGCATAGACACCAGAAGAATTTTCCTAGTACAGGGTCTTTGATTATATTTAAGCCCATACGTACAGCCTTTACTATTTAAGATAGAAAAAAAAATTATACAGGGTGTCCCAAAAAGATACCGACAAACTTTAAAGGGTAGTAAGGGACATCAAAATAAGCATTTTTGTTTATATAAACATATGTCCGCAAATGAGCCATTTGGGCTGTAGAGCAAAAGAACTGTTTGGTACTTTTATTCTTCGCAATAATTTAATCACTGTTTACTTATTGATTTTGCTTTATTAACAAATAAATTATGGTTTACAATAATTGTTCAAAATGTTGACCATTTACTTGAATGCAAAGATTGCACCGTCGGTCGGGTCATTAATAGACAACTAAGTTAATTACGGCAACTAATCACAAATAATAAATTTCACGACGATCCCAAGGTAGGAATTTTCGAAATGTTTTTGATAAAGAAATGTTTTTGCATCTTGAAAATAAACAAAAATGCGACTACAAATGTTTAGCAAATATACTGGTGGCCAACTAAATAAAAAACCGATTAAAAAATTTCTTTAATTATTTGGGTATGATTTAAATAGTTTTTTTGCTCTACAGCCCAAAGGGCTCATTTGCGGATACATGTTTATATAAAAAAAATGCTTGTTTTGATGTCCCTTACTACCCCTTAAAGTTTGTCGGTATCTTTTTGGGACACCCTGTATACAAAACTTGAAACGTTTTTTCTATACAGGGTGGGGCACGAAAAAATTCCTACCCAGGTTTTCTCAGGTGTTAGGTGATAAATCAAAAATCGCTCGGACCGTCAATTTTTGTTGTTTTGGGGGACAAATTCTTTTGGTATTTTCATTAAGATTATATATCCTCAATGTTGCTCCTACATATTTACCATGTCGAAATGGCGGCTTGTCATAGTTGTGTGGTTTTTACCTCATAATAACAAAACAACAGATTTTATTTGTAACCATTTATAGGTCTGTTTCCACAGAAATCACAAACCAATCACAGCGAATTTCATTGGTTGAAAATAGTCAGGAAACTGGGTGTTGGCGATTTGGACCAATCAAAAACGCTCCGACCAGTTTGTGATTTCTTTGGAAACAGACCTAAAGTAATCACGACATAACTGACTTTTTAAAAACTTTGAAGTGTCAGATTACTTACTCTACTTCCCTCTTCGATTTCCCTCACCGATTTCCTTCACTCTAATTTATTTATCTTTGCTGGCAACAATGAGAACATGTCAGGTAAAACCGTCAAAACAGTTAATGACACATTTTGGAATGGTTTTAGTCGACGCTTCGCGTTTCGATTGACAAGACATATAAATCTCTCGACAGTAATGAACACTTTCCTACTACTATGTAATATAGGTTCTATTTCAAGTAAATAAACATGAACCAATAAACAAAATCGCATCGGAAAATGGAAAAACTTCAACTTTTTTTGATGGAACAGCCTGTATATTATGCGATAAAATGAAAGATTTTTTCTTCCTGATTCCAAATATATATATTGATCACATTTGCGTGAGCCATTTTTGAAATATCTCAGCTTAAATTATAAATAATTTGCAAAGAAGTTTCATAAGAATAATCTTTATAAAATTTCTTCAAAAAAGTTTTGTACTTGTATACATTTTTTTCTATCTTAAATAGTAAAGCTTGTAGGTATGGGCTTAAATATAGGTAATCGAAGACCCTGTACAACCTCTCTATAGGCAAAAAAATAAATAATCTTTCCAAAAATTGATATACTTACTATACTTACTGCAACACTTCCGCGCAATTACTCCTGCCCCTTATAATGGAAGTTTTCACTACCATTCTTTTGTGAATATTTCGTTACCTATGCATTATTATATGGGAACGAAATTTATACGAAATTCAAAACCACAATTTGTTCCACAAATAAGGTTCTATGCATTTTTTTTTAGTTGCAATTGCTACCCCACAGTAGCGTTCTAAAGCTCAGCAATTTTATAGCGGATTCCCTTGACGCTTTTTTTTGTATCGTGCTGTCTCCAGTAAGCCTAAACTAATAGACCGTCAGATAGTGACATATTTAGGTGCCCCATTTTCGCATACAAGCCTCGAAGAGGGTTGAAAAGTACATCGATTTTGAGTAGGATGAAGGTATTTTCACGGGTGGCTCCTGGGGATAACATCTGGAAAATTGGATTTTCCATAACAGAAATGAAAAACGTCCTAGTGCCCATATTTTCTCGCAAGCCGTGTTGACCAAAGGATTAAATAATAAATCCTGCCTTCGTGAAAACAAAGAAGGGGGTTTTGCAGGTGGCTGAAGGTTTGAAATAAGGGCCTAATGTTGTAAGCAAAAATCGAGATTTTTGGCGATTTTTCCACACAAGCCCATCGGAAGGATGAAAAATCTACGAAGTTGGCAGCAAGAAAACATATTGGCTTGAGTGTCGCGACTGGAAAAGTACATTTTAGGGTAACCTAAGTAAAATCGAATTTTCCCGATGTTATCCCCAGGAGCCACTCGTGAAAATACCTTCATCCTACTCAAAATCAATGTACTTTTCAACCCTCTTCGAGGCTTGTATGCGAAAATGGGGCACCTAAATATGTCACTATCTGACGGTCTATAAGTTAATGTATAATGTCTGCTCAGTTTAATTTTTTTCCTCCGAACTCCCGGAAAACATAGTTGGAGGTGTTCTCCTGAGCGGAGGGCATCACTTCTTCTACTTAATAACATGAGCT